ACTGCGTAATGAAGGCCTCCGTGCCAGAACTCCCAGGCGTACCCCCTTGCTGTCTCCAAAGAATAAGAAGAGTCGACTGCAGTATGCCAAAAGCCATGTGGACAAACCACAAAAGTTGTGGGATAGTGTTCTGTGGACTGATGAAACAAAATTAGAACTGTTTGGGCCCATGGATCAACGCTATGTTTGGAGGAGGAAGAACAAGGCCTATGATGAAAAAGAACACCTTGCCTACTGTGAAGCATGGTGGAGGGTCAATCATGCTTTGGGGCTGTTTTGCTTCTGCAGGTACAGGGAAGCTTCAGCGTGTGCAAGGTACCATGAATTCTCTTCAGTACCAGGAGATATTGGATGGAAACGTGATGCAGTCCGTCACACACCTGAGGCTTGGGAGACGTTGGACCTTTCAACAGGACAATGATCCCAAGCATACCTCCAAGTCCACTAGAGCATGGTTGCAGAGGAAAGGCTGGAACATTTTGGAGTGGCCATCGCAGTCACCAGACTTAAATCCGATTGAGAACCTCTGGTGGGACTTAAAGAAAGCAGTTGCAGTGCGCAAGCCTAAGAATGTGACTGAACTGGAGGCCTTTGCCCATGAAGAATGGGCGAAGATACCCGTAGATCGCTGCAAGACACTTGTGTCAAGCTATGCTTCACGTTTAAAAGCTGTTATAACTGTAAAAGGATGCTGTACTAAGTACTAAGATTGAATGTCACTTGGGGGTTGAATAAAACTGATAATGCTGTGAGCACAGAAAAGACATTTGTGGTTATTTCATTATAACTGTTATGTTATATTTGTCTGACCTACAAGTGCCTCTTTAATGTAAATGTAAGCAAGATGACTGAATGATCAAAAGCAATGTCAAACTGGCCAAAACACTCAATTTCAGTGGGGGTTGAATAATTTTGGACACAACTGTAGATGTCAAATTTGCAAGGCAAGACATTTAAGAGTATGTCAGATATGTCAGAACGAGAAGTGTTCTGCAAGGAAGAGTGGGTAAAAATTACCTAAAGTGAAGACCGACTGTTGGTACATTACAAATTGTGTGTCACAGTGTGCTGTGTTGCTAAAAAAAAAAAAGGGGGGGGGGTTGTGCTTTTTCCTTTTTTTTTTTTTCTTGGGGTGCATAGGCTGCCCATTTATAATGCTTTAATGCCATGCACACTAAAGAGCATCTAAATACTCCTGTCTAAACAAGTACCAAATCCAGTTACTATGCGATGCACAAGCCTCATAATGTAAGCAGAAAAGATCATTTACCTTCCTTGACTCAGAAAATTTTTATTTCTCCTTCATATGTTCCCCCTTCCAGACACTGCAGCTCACAGTGGGAGGGTTTCAGCACCAGAGGCAGTGCTGTCAATTTAAAAAGCAGTGGACAGGGCTATGTGTGGCCAGAGGCTGATTGACAAGCTACAGGTTTGTGAATCAGCAGTGACGATACTGGTGGCAATCCCCACCCTTCCCATCTCATTGTAGTGTAAGCAGACACAGCCTGCATGGGAATGGCAACTCTGCTCTGAATTCTGGAGCAGTGCAGCATTGTTGGTACCCTAAACACTGAAGGCTGCTTTAGGGTGGAATTCATTGGCAAGATCAAAAATTGTGTTTGAAAATTTGCAGAGATGTTCACACCTTAAATTGCTGGTGTGTGATGGGAGAAATTTGTGCCAATATGCCCCTCCTGGCTTATTGCATTGTTTACTTTTTTTTGTGGGATTAGAAATTTATGAGCGCAGTATTTTGTTCAGTGCGCACACTAGCCTCATAAGGAAGAAGGCTTTTTACCTTGTCTTGTGCTGGGACTGCACTGGGCAGGTCCCAATGTATATAGTGTGAATGAGCCTTTAGAGAGCTGCACTAATCGTTAAACTGATTGTAAACCTTGATATTTTATTTTTTTAAATAACCAACATGTTATACTTGCTTGCTTTGTGCAATGGTTTTGCGCTGATCTCCTTCTCTGGCCCCCCACTGGCTGTCCTGGCTCCTCCTCTTGGTGTGGGTAGGAAGCCGCTTTTTATTGTGGCACACCTGTGTGCTCACTTGGCCTCACCCCTCACTTCTGCCTCAGTGAGTGTGATTGACAGCAGCGGGAGCCAATAGTTCACTCTGCTATGTCTGAGCCAATGAGGAGGAAGAGAGCATAGTGAGTATCTGCTCGTTGGATCGAGATTGGGCTCAGGTAAGTATAAAGGGGGGGGGGGGGTAAGAATCTTCTTCCTTTACAACCACTTTAAGTTCTGCTACACCTAATTTTTTTCATGGATTGCCATAGATTTACTTCACTTCACATTGGACTGCAATGGTTGTACAATGTAAACCAGCCTCTAAATAAAAATATTTTTGGCCGGCCATATACTTTGAGTATGCTTCTAACTTAGAAAAGCGAAAATATTAGTGAAATGCTCCCTCAACAGATGAAAAGCTATTCCCATTACACTAAAGAACACAGAGTATAGACACCAGGTCACATAAGAAGCCTCATAAAGCTTTGTTTAGAAGCATTATTCTGCAAATCGGCTTTTATCATATAGTATGCAGCTTACAGCTTCCCAATCTGAAATGCCTGGAGACATTTAGCATCATTACAGGCTGCTGCTCAGGTAGCAATGTGTCAGGGATAATATAAAAAGAGGGATTAGAGAAGGACCAGTATGATGACTATGAGCTCTTCTGTGTTACAAAGGCTTCCTGTGAAGAATGCCTCTAAGTGCTGCTTAGAAAGTACATTGTCCTGGTAGTTCATTGAAAGGAAACTGTACTTTCACAGTTATTCAGCACGCGGACGTATTTCCGCCTGTAGATGAAATAACGAGTCTAAAAAATGTCCTCTCATTCTTACTATCAAGCATGGCTCGACTGAAACATTATACGTTTTGTATTTAATGTTTTTCAAGATGTGTAATTAATTCTTTGAATAGCTGAGACAAGAGTCATGCACACCTTTTCCGTGTGTAATTGTCCTACGTCACAAGCAAACAAAGGCTTTCATCTCCAAAAGTGAATCATCGTTCTATAGATTAAGGCACACGTGAAGCTCGGCAAACAAGACTCTTCATAGTTTTTACTAACAGAGCTGTTAAGATCTTTAAACCATTTTCTATCTAACTTTGTAACAGAGAAAACTACAAACATGCCAATTAGCTGACATTCTAATCTAGACACCCCAAAAAATTGTGTGAATGTACTTTAGGATCATTGGTCACTGGGAGCCTTCATCTTTGCTCACCATGTCATGCTAAAGAGGACTGGCAAAAACACATTCATTAAAGGAGTTCTCTGGTTACAACATGCACTTTCATTTTTTAACACCAGCATTATAACCGCATTACAAAAGTAAGTTCACAAACTCCAAAATCATTTAGATTTTTAAGAGCAGAACATGGAAGTGAATGTATGATTTAAAATTTTGACCATAAATATGCTTGAAGATACATTCATGCCTTTAATGGGTCTTAATAGGCTGCTGGTTGATATAATCTTTTGGACATCTGTTGTGACCATGCCTTGTTCTTTATAACATTTTTCATGGGGGGATAATTTATGAAAAATGGACAGTGCAAAATCTGATGCAGCTCTGCATAGAAACCAATCTGATTCCAGGTTTTATTGTCAAAGCTTTTCTAAAATCAGTAAGTATAACAAGCATGCTTTACTGCATATACACACTGTGGAACCTAAGGGGTTAATCCTCTGCATTGTATAAAAATGTGTCCCCCTCTTATCTCCTGATAAGACGTGTGGAGTCAATCTGCACATGCTCAGTTTGATGTGTATTGAGAGGTTTTCAGAGGTGATCAGTGTCACATTCATGCCCACAGGGAGAGGTGCGGTTCTTCATTTTACCCCAAACTTCTACATTTTGGTATTGCTCTTAAACTCATATGCCATCATCCTGGGGGGGGGGGGGGGAGGTGTAGTATGGTGCATACAAGAGCCAGGCACAGGCTCTCACTGTATTAAGAAGTCTTCTGTATCCCCTCATTCCACCCCCTCCCTCAGGAATGCGTTCAGTGTAGCTGATTAAACAATCCTCTTGCCAAATAAGGTAGTGAAGATACCAGTTGATTTTGTGTAGAAAAAGAAGCTGTTATGTTTTGTGTGTAGTCAGAGAAGTGAGGACCGTCTGCGATATAACCTCTATCGGACAGAAAGCAAAGGAGAATCTCACTGCAACAACGAAACCGAGTGCGAGACCAGAAATCCCTTTTTAGCTCATCAGACTTGAAACTGCTTAACCCCAGGCATTTATTTGGCAAGTACTTATTTACTATAGAAGATGAAACCTATATATATATATATATATATATATATATATATATATATATATATATAGGTTTCATCTTCTTTCTGTAAATATTTTTACTGCACCCTTTTAACCTTTTGGTAATCTTACTTTCTAAAAGTGTTGAACTGTTTCTATAGCTCCTGAATGTGACTTACGAATCCCTGCCGCTGAAGAGCGCTACTATGAGTATTTAACCCTCTGTATAACCGGTCTGTAGAGATAGCGGGATACTGACAGTTAACCAATCATCCTAGTGTATTGCTGAGTTTCCTCTTTCTCTGTATAAAAAGGAGGTGGTGGCAGGGTTAAGGGTTAATTGTGTAATTAACCTGACCCAGTAACAAACACTCCCAGGCTGCAGGTACATCGATTGCGGTCCAATTAGCTAGAAAATCGTTGTGCAGGGTGCAGCTGGGCGTGGCATTGTTACACACGTGACATCGCAGTTTTAGATTGGCTAGTCCTTCGGTCACGAGTTTGGTGAGAAGGTCTGATGCCGCGCCCGTCACAATCAGCACTGCCCCGACAGAGGTCAGGGGTTCTGCATCCTCAACACAAAATGAAAACTCCTCTTACAAGCTTTAACCAGTGCTCTGCTGGACACTGATAGAATTCACAAGACTGCTCTAACTGCTGATGAGAAAAGGTATTTAGCAGTTTATATTTACTAAAATAATTGCATTTCCATGTTCTGTGTACTGTGGGGGACCAGATATAGTGAATGCAGGGTCCTGGGTTTAGTAACACTTTAACTGAACAAGCTGAAGTTAGAAGTTGATTGACTACCATGCACAGCTGCACCAGATTTTGCACTCTTCAGTTTTAATAAATCAACCCCACAGTGTCCCTTTAATTGCAGCACAGTAAGGCTAGGTTCACATCTGTGCGGGTGGTGACGCTGCAGACCCACACTAAAATCTGTGCAGCCGCACCACCCGCACAGAGAAATGCGGACCCGCGGGCACGCCGCCCGCACTGGAAAACGCAACTGTACTGGGAACCGAGGTTCCCCTGTGGGCTGCATTGTCAGAAGAAGTGCAGGGACTTCTTCTCTGCGTGTCACGGGGCATGGGAGTCCATTCAAATGAATGGGCTCTCTTGCCCTCGCAAAAACATGGCCCGCACGGGCGCATTTATGTGAACCGGGGCTAAGTCAGGAAACCCACAATCCTCCACTATATGTTCGTTTTTCTAGGCTTTTACTTGTAATCTAAATCAGTAAAGTTATTTACCCCACAGGGTACGATTGATGGTGGTGTAAAACTTCTGATATGGGTTGGACGCCTTGTATTGGCACATTCGTTCTGGAGAGATTGACAAAGTAACGACGTACTTCATGGCATATAAAGTGCTACAGGTTGCATCTGCCTGGCTTGCCTCATACTTGTTGTGGCTGATTATGTTTCCTGCCAGCTGGGCATGAGGTTTTGCCATGAATTACTTCTTCGTGAGTGATGTCACTCTGGTTGGATAGGAAGTGCATTGTTTCATTGGGTAGATTACTAGGAAGTGGAGGCAAGGTTACAAGTTCAGCTTAAATTGTTAAATGGTAACCATATGAAAGCACTGCACATTTTACTTTTTTTTCAGGACTTATTATTGACTCATGGGTAAATTGTTAGAAATTGCCATGACCCAAGCAATTTGTGTTCCATGGGAATGATGTGAAGAGGCATGAGTTAATGTGCTAGAGAAAAGTTTATATTCACCAAGCCTGCAGGATTTGTGAATATGCCCGTGTTTTCTTTTTTTAAATGCTAGTGCCCTATATGCTTATGCTGGTGCTGTACAAACATAGCTCACCTGAATCGATAACACCCACAGTCTTGTTTCTCAGGATTTTTTGGGAGGTCATAGATCCAGGACACAAAACTCTGATCCTGGGAACGGAGTGAGACTGGTTTAGGCTAAAAACTGGGAAGTCTAGTTAAATTGCAGATATGCAAACCTGATCACTAAATCTCATATACTCTCTTTAACATCTGAATGTAATTTGTCATTTCCAGTGTTTTTAAATTTGCAGCTTTCAAAATTATCTAGTATTTTTAGTTCTTGTTCAGGTGTTTCCTTTTATTGGGTGACAACATGCTGCCCCTGTCTCCCAGTTGCTTTTCTGCATTGTCACCACTTCACATGTGCTTCTAGTATAGACCAGTGTTTCTTAACCTTTTTCAGTTAAGGCACCCTTTCAAATTCTGCACAGTTTTGATGCACCCATTACAAAATGTAAAAAAACTAAAATGAATAGTTTTACAGAACACAGCAAGATCTGCACATGTAGGACACCCAACATTAGAGGTAATTTATTCTTCCAAAGCAAATATACATTTGTACACTGGTACTGACTAGTATTCTGTTGTTTCTCTTCTCCCTCAGTCTCTTTCTTACTCAAGTGTGACCCCAGTGCTTATGGAGAGGAGCAGGGAAGGGGAAAGCAAGGATGCTGTGCAGATCAACAATGTCCTTATCAAATGTTGACATCATTGGTTGTTCTTTCTCCAGCGCCTTGAAAGCTTAAATGGTGCACAATGAAAACCTTTGGTTTTGTGTAACTAAAAGGCAGGCTTGATTCACCTGCTGACTTGTATACAATTTTTGAACAATTTTTAGGCATTTTGTCAAGGCACCCCTGAAGAAACCTGAACGCACCCATGGCATTCTGATTGAAAAAGTCTGGTATAGAAGATAAGAGGCTATACCGGTGCAAATTGTGCAGGCATGCTCTATTATTGCCACTATCAGGAGCATGACCCTGAGCAGTGACAGATGGTACAGACCAGAAGTAGGAATGAAAACAAAAAAAAGGAACGTAATTAGAAAGTATCAACTGCAGGGGGAACAGGGTAGGTACTGGTGGCTAGGCCTTTTTTCTCCTCCTGCACAACTTCCACAGTTAAGTTCCTCTTTAAGGCAGCAAAATAATTTTGAGTAGGCTGCCAATGCACCGCATCCCTTGTGATAGCAATACAATTAATTAAAAAAAAATTAGAGATCTTGTACAAAAAAAAATACGCAAGTCCTGCACGCACATGTAAGTGGTGATCGCAGGTATCGTCACGAACGTCAGAGCAAGAGCAATATTTCTAGCACCAGACCTCCTGTGTAACTCTAAACTAGTAGCCTGTAAAGGTGTTTGAAGTATTGCCTATGAAGATTTTTAAGTACTGTAGATTGTCGCCATTCCACAGGTACACGCAATTATAAAGTGTGACATGTTGGGTATATTTACTCATGGTAACCTGATGTTTTATATTTTAGCACAAATTGGGTATTACAGTATATTGTATTTGGAAATCACTTTAATGAATTTTAATGCACACAAATAAATTGCATTTAAAAAACCGTTGCGCAAATACTGTATGACATAAAATTGCAACACCCATCATTTTATTCTCTAGGGCCTCAGCTAAAAAATAAATATAACGTTTGGGAGTTCCAAGTAATTTTCTCACAAAAAAATGTAGATTTTTGCATGTATGTGAAAAGTATCAAAATTGGCAAGGTAGGCAAGTAGTTAAAAAGGAATTCTCCCCCACTATGTTTTTTTTTCCTCTCCCTTGCTTACCTGATGCGCCACAGTTGAGCTACTCACTGACACAGAGATCCAGTGTCTCCCTGCTGAGATTCTCCTCTCTGCAACCACTGCTGGGTCCTGCTTTGCCATGCTCCTTTGTGATGTGATCAGGAGCCTGCACTGGCTCTTTCAGGTTCTGGTGCAGCCTACCAATGGCGTGCTGCTAGGCCCACTTTCCCCCCCACCATTACGGAATGGGGTGACGTGCGGAGCTCACGGTGCCTCTTGGGATGTGAATGTCATATATCCCAGGAGGTGCTGGGGGCATCGACCTCATTTGCCTAGTTGAATGATAGAGGATGGGCAGAGGGAAAGTGGGCTGAAACTTCGTTTAAAAAACCCAGTAAAAACAAAAAAAAAAAAAAAGGTGCAGCGGAGGGTGGAGGCTATTCAGAGCAGTCACATTAAATAAATGGGTGAAGCTCCACTTAAGTCTTTGGTTAGAGGAATAAGCTGTAATACTTATTCATTGGTCTAGCTCACTTCCTCCAGGCTGTGTTTCCGGTCCCTTCATGTCTTGCTATGCTCAGCAGTTGTGCTCTGATGATGTTACATACAATGCAGAACATATAGTCCTGCATAGTAATCGAGGACAGTGAGTGCCTGCTGACAACCTGGAGTATCAGAGAGAAGAGGTGAGAACTGGAGCCTGCCAGAGCAAGGTATAAGGCAAATAGCACAGTGGCTAAATGGTTAGAACTTCCGCCTGGCAGTACTCAGGTCGTTGGTTCGAATCCCAGCCACGGCACCTCCTGCCTGGAGTTTACATATTCTCCCTGTGCCTGCGTGGGTTTCCTCCAGGTACTCTGGTTTCCTTCCACACTCCAAAGACATGCTGGTAGGTTAATTGGATCCTGTATAAATTGGCCCTAGTATGTGTATGTATGAATGTGAGTTAGGGACCTTAGATTGTACGCCCCTTGAGGGTTAGGGACTGATGTGAATGTACAATATATATGTAAAGCGCTGCGTAAATTGACGGCGCTATATAAGTATCTGTAATAAATAAATATTACATTTAACTCCTATACCTGGTAATCTTTTTTTTTTTTTTTTTCTTCCTAATGAAGAAATCTTTTCTAAACATTAATGTGTAGAATTTCTTGGAAAACTATCAAAATGAGTCATGTGATTCAGGATCTAAAACCGCACTTCACGTGAGTGATGACATCAGCACTCTCTATTAATGAGTCATACAGGGCATTACTTCCTGCCAAACAACACTTTGCTTTTGCTTCATCACCTATGTACCATTGGCAAGCTAGTTTCCCTTTTGGTGAAACAAACATTATACGGATATTCTGTCAGATGTTTTCATCTTGTGATCTGCTCCTTACCTCCGCAGCTTAAAATATTTTCATTGCATTATGAGCGATCAGCGGCCAGTAAAAGTAAAACTGCAATAACCAGCATGAAAATAAAGAGAACACATTTTTGAACACTGCAAACATATGGTAAAGATTTCAGAGGAAAATAGGGAATAAAATGAGGGTTATTTATATGTTGATGAGAAGTCGCTTTTAATGTAAATTAAATGAAGATTCTGCAAGAGAAGAGCACTCGTAATTGCTAGTGACTAATTGTAGAGGCACGGAGCCAAATGCTGCTGGCGTAGAGACTCTTTAATGGATTTGTTCGAAGGTAGTGGCTTTGGAGTCTAGGGTTAAAGTATGCGCAGTTGTCCTGCTTTGTTGAAGTAATTTGCCCATATGACCTGCATTCAGTTTAATGATGCCGAGTGGACAAATGTCCCATGAAAACTCAAGCTCCAGCCTTGGAAGTAAAACCTTTAAACACGCCGTACAGTAAACTAAACAAATTCTGAATTTGCTCCAAGTCGTCTCCACAATGGATCTTTTAATTGGGTTTCAGGGCTAATTAGCGAAAGAGGTTTTATCTCTCCCAAAGCCTTCGAGCTTGCATTAGCTAGCAAGAGCTGAAGACATTAATTAATCATTAATCAGAGCAAGGCAAATAATTCAACTTTTCAGAGTTTCAGTGAAACTAGTTCCAAGGTCAATATATTACGGGAATATTGCGGACTGTAATAATGGATTGTCAAGCTAAATGACATTATTAACCCTTGTTCAGTTGAGTGGAGATGTCATTGTATCGCAGGATAACTGTACTGTAAAAAACAATGGTTACTGTTGGAAATTAGAACAATTGTTCATATAAAGTGGACCTGTCATTATAATTACATATGAACCTGTAGGGAACATGGCAGCATTACCAA